GTGTGTACATAGGCACTTCTCACACCTCTTGGATAAGGTGAGAAAACGCGGAGTCTGTGGGAGTTTGAAGAATAGGGGGTGGGAAAGTGCTGCGAAAGATGAAGAGAACAGATGCACAGCAGGGAGCCCAGCCTAGGTCAGGGGATGTGTGTCTTCACAGACTTAGAGTTTATGTTTGAGTATTTTTCAAATAAGTTCCCAAATACTGGGAAATACTTCCACTTTTGTAGCTTCTCTGTTGCAGAGGTGGTTTTTGTTTTTGTTGCTGAAATCTCTTTTTATTATGGAAATGTGTTACATAAAATTTTATTCTAGTTGTGTGCTCACCAAATCCTCTTTAATTGACCCTGCAAATAAAGACAGGAAAGATGGTAATGGAATAAGGAATGTATATAAATATGTATAATGAATAAACCAACTCAGTAGGCTCAGTTTTAACGCCAATTTAGGAACACAACAGACATTGAATGAATTCAATGACAATAAAATCCTGCATGCAAAGGATCCAAACATGGCCCAGAACCTGTCTTCTGAGATCAGAAAAGAAGAAATGGACAATTGGATGTACAACTGAAGCTGTCTCTGGAACATCTTGGTACCTCTACCCCAGCACCAGCTGGTTTGCTGTTTGATGCGGATGCTGGCTGTATCACCACCTAGGGGCATGAATCATTACTGGTATCTCACATCATCCTCACCATCTGCTGAAGTTGGCAGCCTGGCTGGCATCAGCCCAGGGCCGTGGGGCAGACAGAGGCACAACCATGGTGATACATTCAGAGACTTTGCCCCAGCTCTGCTATAACCATGTTTTAAAAATTGAAGTTATAGGAAGATTCTAGATTCAACATATGCAGAAGACTCTACAGTGTGACTGAAAGTTATTATGATGCTGATAATGGAGAGAGAAAGGTAGGCAAGTTGGCACATTAAAAATTACTCAGAGACTCCTCTACAGCCCATAATGACAACATTTTGCCCATTCATCCTGGAACAGCCAGAGTCATGAGATACTTCCTGAAATAGATTGAAAGTTAAGTACAAATGTGATGTCAAGTGGACAAGTCTCCAGACTATTTACAGTCTCCTTGTAGAGATATATCCAGGATAAGCCACACTAGATTCCTACTACCTTCAGGACAACAGGTGTAGTCACACAGATCGAAAATGATAATTGAGAAATAAAGCAGCCTGGTTATATAATTTAAAATGTGGAGATGGTTTCATCTCTCCAAAAAAGTCACCTGGTCGAAGTCAATAGAAACTACAGCTATTGTACATTTTACCTGTGAAGACCTTCAGTACTTTCTGTAGACAGAAAGAAAGAAAAGACAGCAAATCTCTAGATTGACCTAGGTTTACCTTAGAATATACTCTTCAAGAAAAAGCAGCTAGTCCTATCCAAGGGTGCAACAGTCTCTCAGCTGTGTAATACAAATTATTAAAAGGTGTTTTAGGCAACTAAATTAGATAAAATTTTATAGGCAGCCAGATAAGACAAGGCTGGCAAAGAAGCCAGTACAGACATACCTACATATCTTTTCCCCTTCTTTCATTTGTCCTTTTCCTCATCCCAGTTTTTCCTTCTTATTGGGCAGCTTCTTTTACTTTCGCAGTATCTGTCCTAACTTTTAGATTTTCATTTCTCTTTCAGGTTCTTACACTAGCAAGATAATCCGACGTTTGCACATGTGGATTTGATTTATTTCACTTACCAATATAGTTTCTAGCTGCATCCATTTATATACAAAAGCCTCGACTTTTTTTTTAATAGCTGAGTAAAAATGCATTGTGTAAAAATTGTATTTTCAATTTTTGCTTTTTTTTTCATTTCTGTATTTGGTACAGGGTCTCACTACACAGATCAGATTCTTGGTGATCCTATTTTCAGTCTCCCCCACTCCTGGGAGAAAGAATGCTCAGGGCTAATCTAAAAATGAGACCACAGTGCCTCACATCTGGAACTATTATCCATAGCGACTCTCCAGTTTTCTTATACCGATACTTTATTATTTGTCTTCCCAATGAGCATTGGGAAGACAATGCTGGGTTGGATTATCTGTCCACACATTTGTGTATTTCATTCCTGTAGTTTCCAAAGTAATAACTTGGCATAATACATTCAGCTTTTGCATTTAAATATGTTTCAATACCATCAATGTTGTCTATACCAAGTCTGGGTAAAGTCACTTACATAGTCAAAAATTATGAGCTGGTACTCAATGCTGATGGCTTTTGTACTCAGCTTGCTGTGCTAACATAGGAGAGCTGGGCCTCGCTTCAGGAACCCTGAGCACTTTTGTCCTTCTGAACTCCAGTATCTTGTGGGCAAGTAGACAGGAAAGTCTTTCTTTTCACTGGCACAGTACTACACTGCAGAAGCCAGCAAAGGGTTTGAAACCTGAGGTGCAAACATTAGGGGCCTCTCACTAACCAAAGAGCAGCAAACTTGGCTATATCAGAAGGGGCAGTTAGCAGAAGCATGCTGAATGATGGGTCAGCTGTGTCTCTGGCATCAACTAGACCTGTACTCCCCACTGTTTCTCACATCCTTTCAAAACCTGAGAAGGCATTGGGTAGAATGCAAAGATAGGTGCTCCCGATTTACATAGCATCTACCTTGAACCTTAAGCATACAGTATGCCAGCTGTACCCTCGGAACAAGAGACTTAAACATGGAAGGCCTTGTTTTCCCCATCTGTTGAATGTATCAAATAATATGAATGTTCTGAGACCTGGTAGGAAGATTAAATTTAAAAAGAAAATTCAACATAGAATGGGATGTTGAATGAATAATAGATGACCAGTAAAACAATGTTGCATGTAGATGGAATTGTGATTGGGGGACCATGTAATAGAACTACATAGCTACCCAAGGAGGTAAGTCCTGTGCACAGCTTACAATGCATGTAATTGTTTTTGGTTACATGTGCAAGGTGCTGCCATTTGGCCTCATAGATATTACACAGAAAGGAAAACACTCAGTTTTATAGCATCACCCTTTATATTTTTCAGTTAGAGTGATTACATTACCTGAATAAAGAATTCTTAGAAACTTTAATGCAAAACTAAAGTAACTGATTTTAAATGTACCTGTATTAATAACTCTCTATAGTGTGAATTCCATATGATTGTTTCTTTCATATAGTTCTATCACTGTAACAGAAAAAGCCATCTTTCAAGCGCTACCTCAAACTCTCTAGGATTGGAATGCTTTTAAATGGTCCTTTATATTTATTCCTCTGTAAAATTCTCACATTTTCTTTGTTTAAATTAAAGAGCAGATTCTGATTTCTTCAGTAACAAACTATTAATAATTATAGTTTAATAAATCTTTCCATTATTATTATAAGTAGCAACCTTAAGTGTAGCAACCTCTTTCAGCAAAGCTATATTGGGGGTTTCAAAAAAATAGCATTGTTTAGTATCTGGGGAAACCATTACAGTAATCTCCTTGAGCATAATGTATAACCTTAATAATGTTAAGTATAACATTAGCTGAATGTTAGTGTACTTAATTATATATAAAATTGAACACCACAAAACAGCTAAGTTATGTAATGTAGGAAAACAAGCTATTAAAGCTGTTCAGACCAACGAAGGGTTGTGAAGGCTTCAGACAATATGAGGGGACTGATAAATTCTGAATTATTATTCCTAGCAAGGTTAGTGTATTTGGGCTGGGTATATAGCTCAGTGGCATAAGCACTTACTTCACAAGCACAAGATCCTGAATTCAATCCCTGGTATCGGAAAGAAAAAAAAAAGTTTAGGGTACTAAAAATCAAAATTGTCTCTAATTTTTATAATTAACTTGACATTATTAAGGTTATATGGTATGCTCAAGGAGATTACTGTAATGGTTTCCACAGGTACTAAACAATGCTATTGTTTGAAACCCCCAAAATACCTTTGCTGAAAGAGGTTGCTATGCATAAGGAACCCATTTGTAAGGCAAATACTATGTGCCTTTCGTCTGTTTAAAACAGCAGTAATTTGTGATAATCACCTTCAAATTCACTTTGCTGCCACATAATTTCTTACAGGGTGAAAAAAGGAAATAAAAGTACAAAATGTTGGGGCCAGTGAGACAGACAACTCAGTAGAATAAAGTGCCTGCTTAGGCAAGTTTAGGCAAGCACGGGGACCTGTGGCTCGATCCCTGGTACCACGTGTGCCAGCCCTGCTAAACTGGCTGGAGTCCGGGCGTGTGGCGCTTGCCTGCAACCTGTAATCCCAGAGCAGGGAAGGCTGAAAGTAGGAGGATCGCTGAGTCCGAGCTACATAGTGAGACCCTGTAACACCCAAAAGCAAACAAACAAAGCTCAGAATGATATATATATATATATATATATATATATATATATATATATATATATCTTAAACCCTGGTTAAGTGTGGTAATGGGAACACATGTGTAGGTGGAGACAGAAGCTGGTAAATAGCAAAACTACAATTTTGTTTGACTTTCAAAACATGTAAGTATGTTACCTTTTATATTTGAAATTTTAAAATTATGTTTTCATGAGTTTGTGCATGGATATTCATATCTTTTAATTGCATTTCTTGAAGGTGATGATGTTTTTCTACAAAGTGAATGTCACTGACTTGGTTCAAAGACAGAAAAGACTTTGGAAAATAGATGAAGTATTAATCATTTTATAATGTGAAATTAATATTGTGTTTGCAATTTCCCTAGGAATTTTTGTGTCTTTCAAATAATTCCAAGCAATTAAAGATAGTTTCTGGACTATTCTTGGGTCTCCTGGATCCTTATGCTGTACAGACCGAGGAAGAATGTTACTTTCAGTTCTCAGAACATTGAATAAGGAAATTACTTGTTTAAACCTCATATAGGAAGACAAGGCGCCAAAGTGAGGAAATGCAAAATACTTACTCAAAATCCCTTTTTAACACTTTAAACCTGTGCCACAAACATATCTGATAGCTGGTCTTTAAGAAACCCATTGAAAACGATAAAAAGAAAACGACAAAACTTGTTCAGTGCTTTTGAAAAAGAATACTGCTATACCTGTATTTTATTATAAATAAACAGGTTCTGTCATATTTTATCTTCTTGCCAGCAAATGAAGGACATTGTTTCATAAAGCTTCTAAAATGTACATGAATATTTAATTAAATCATATTTCCTTGAGAAAATAAAGTTCATTCGCATTTATAGCAGTGACGAGGAGTTCATAACGTCGTAAGACCAGGGTAGCCAGTACCGGTTGCTTGTGGAACAAAACTCCTCAAGTTTTAAAACTTTTTTTTAAAAAATAAACATACAATCGTAGGTGTTCATTTACTTTAAAAATTCTAAAGATGAAGAAAATTATTGTCTATATATTTAAGTCCTTGTATAAATTACAAAACTCAAGTTTATGTTACAGAGTCCCTTCCCCATAGGAAGCATAAAGCACTTTTGTGGTACCTTTCACCAGTAAATATTTGTATCACATTGAATTTGACAAACAAAATAAGAGTCGATATTGCATCTTTAAGCCCTAAGAGAACATTCTTCTAAGCTGTCTCTTGTGATGAATGAGCTTCAGAAGTCATTTGATTGCCATGTTTTAACTTAATTTCAAATAAAGATATATAAAAGTAATGCACATATTGACTTCAGTAGAACTCTGAAATATCAGTGAACGGCAGGTTCTTCTTTCTTGAGGTCAAAGAAACACCACTTGGAAGACAACCAAGAGTAGTTTAAGACCATGATAACAAAATAAAGTTATAACAATAACAATAACAATAATAAAATAAAAATAACAATAAACAATGAGGTAAACTCCCCTTTAAAAAGGCAATCTTTGTTGCCTGGAGTGTCAGGAGAGAGTTCGATTGTACCTGACACCCAAATGTTTTTCTAACCAGAGTTCTGCCAGTTGCATGGTTGAGGCAAAAGTACTTGCTTTAGATCCCAAGCACATTTTGTACTGCTTAGGGTCCAAGTTAGGGTCACAATGAACTGGATGGAAAATATGCACCACTCCTACTTCTTGACTTCTGAAAGGCCTTAAGCCAGATGCAATAACTTTGTTGTACAGATCTACATCTTCCAGACCCCAGCCTTGTATTGAGGTATCAAATCCACCTGTACCCAGAAGATCACTTTTATAAATACAAGTGATTCCATAGCCATAGTCTCTCCAAAATCCAGTCTTCTTTGAGAACACAAAGTCATCAGCAGTGTGAGGATTTCCCCCATTGGTTACCTTCGGGTCATACTGGCTAAAGATGATGGGATAGTACACTTGTTGTCCCTGAATTGTATTATCTCTACATCGTTGGAGAAAATCTCCTCTGAAGATCAAGTCAACATCACAAAATAGCAGCAAAGTATCATTGTCAAACTGGGAAGAAGCCATTTCAAGTCCAAGGCCTCTGGAAAACTCCCCCTTCATAGGAATCAGGGTCATTTCTGCAGTGGGGTACTTGTTTTGATATTCTTTTATCAGCTCAATGTGCTTGTTGGAATCTTGGCCAGAATCCTGGCTGAAAAGAATGATGACCAACTTTGTATTCTGCTTTGGGATAAGACATGTGTTTTCAAAGTTCTCCATGAATCTCAAGAAAATGTCATACCTTCCAATGAGGGGGACAAGAATGTGTATTTTCTTTTCACTATGTCCTTCCATTTCTCTGGAGCCTTGAAGAGAAGACAGTATCTTTAAAGAATTAGATATGAAGGAGAATGACTGAGTGTCACTGTTAATACTTTCCACAAGACTGTTGACATCAAGCTCTTCCATTTCTTTGAAGAAAGGCTTGCTGAACATCTGCTGAAGATAGGCATGGCGTCTCACTGGCACAGTCAGCTTCCTTCCTTTGTGCCTCTTATATAGGAGTAGTAAATCCAAAATGTACTCCACCCCATACAGGGGATCAACCCTGCGATAGCCATACTGAATTTCTTTGAAGTCAATGAGCCTTCCTCTACTTTTGGCATTCTCATTGATCATCTCCATCACCTGCAGCACAGTGTCATCCAGGGCTGTCCTGAGAACGCTACTGATGCTCTGCCGAGGAGGCTGGTTCTCAGCAGCTGAGTAGAGGAGCTTGCCCGTCAGGAATTCCCACTCTATCACTTCATTTCTCTCTCGAGGCTGAAAGTGGTTGAATGACGGCATCACGCCAAGCTGCTGGTCCTCTTTGCTTACTTCACTGTTACTGAGTTTGCTCATCAGAGCACTCTCTCTGTGGAGCTGGATGGTTCGGTAGCGGAGTTCAGAAATTTTTCGGCTGAGCATGTAATTATGCAGTCTGTACTGGTACGCTGGCCTTTTGTTAGGATGCAGTGTTATGGCTGCATGGATTTTACTGTTGTGGAGGTCTTGGATGTAACCCTTTCGATTGTGTTCATAATTTTCATGAAACAGTTGTTGCATCTGAAAGTAAAAGCAAATCATAATGTCAGGCTCATTTGATAATAATCAGCAATCAAATAAAAAATTAAATTTGAATAGCTAATAAAATTTATCCATATGCTATTACAGAATAAAATAGTTTGTGAAATTTGTGTTTGAAAGTTTCACCTTTTAAAATGGACAAATAAGATTATATTTATTATGTATAATATATTTTGAAGTATATGAGCATTATTAAATTTAAAAAGCTAGATAATTCACATATTCATTACCTCACATAGTAACCATTTTAAGGATGAGAAAACTTAATATATGAGCAGCATGCTTAAATCATGCAATGTATCATTATTAACTGTAGTCATTGTGCTGCACAATAGGGCTTCTGTGCTTATTCCTCTTATCTAATAGTTTGTAGCCTTTGACCAACACTCCCCCAGTGTTTCCACACCTTTCCCAGTCCCTAGTAGCCACCACTTTACCATCTACTTCCATGACATCAACCTTTTCAGCTTCCCAGTATGAGTGACACCATAAATGTCAGGTTCATATAATGAGATTCTATAAACTAACTTGTAGGCTTCTATTTTTATTCTTGCCCTACTCACTATGATGTTAATCCACAATACAAAAGAAGACAGGTATTGAGTATTTTTTATTTCTTTATAGATTGGTGAGAAGAAAAAGAGGCAGAATTAATGCACTTCGGATTCCCTAAACTAGAAGGTTCACCTTGAGAATAAAAGCAATGATCGGTTGTAAATAGTCAACACATGTAAACATAACTGAAAATGTAGTGTGCTGACATTATGGCTTTACAAAACTGACTGACATAGTTTAAAAATAGCAAGCATTGTCAAGGAAAGGGAGGATATAGGGGAAGAGGAGGGAAGGAGAGAGAATGAAAGAAAGAGAGAGAATGAGAGACAGAGAAAGAGAGGCAAAAACAGAGAGACTGGAGAGAGAGAGAGAGAGAGAGAGAGAGAGAGAGAGAGACAGACAGACAGACAGACAGACAGAGACAGAGAGGGGATCAGAGTATTCTAAGGAGACGTGACCTTAAGGGAGTGGGGTATAACTATAGCAGATTTTTTTATCCCTTGTATTTCACTCAGTTTCTTCTCCATATTCAGATAAATGTATAATTTGATATCATTTGCTCTTGAAGACAATAAGAGTAGTTTTTTTATTGAGCAGGACTTAAGAGTTGTAAGAATCAGCAGATTAGTAGCTTCCAATTTTTTCCTAAAGCCATAGGGCAAATTTTATATGAAGTTTTTGTTAAATTATATCAAATTAATTTGATCATTTGTAGTGGACTTACATATCTATTTATTTTTAATTGAAATCACTTTAGCAATTTGAATTCTATAATTTTTCATATATTTTTCTATGTAAGTAGATAAATAACCACTAATTATAATAAATATCAGCAAAAAGTATTAACTATTTGAAGCAATTCTTTATTATTTTAATTCCTAAAATGAAAGAATGTGCTAAGTAAAGTTAGACACAATTCTCAACATTGAGCTGTTAACATGCAGACTTCCCAGTTCTTTTAGTGATATTGAATTGAATAATTCTGCTCAGTTGGACAAAGATGACACTTTTGGATAGAACAAATATATCTTAATATGGAAGTGTATATATCATTTTGGCCAATTTTGTCTGAATGGTGCATGGTGCATATTTTTCAAATTAGTTTTCTGCAGAAATATAATAAGCAGAAGAAAAGTAGTAGCGCAGAGTCCTCAAAAATAGCAGATTTATATGTACTCCACATAGTAGAATACTGATAGGGTATGTTAATTTAGGTTACATTTTCCATTGAGAAATACAAGCACATTGAAATTTTCTCCCTTCATATAAGGGAAGACCAAACTATAAAGGTTAAATAGAAGAATGGTTAATAGGTTATGGAATCAGCCATGTGTGATTTTTAATACTGGCTTCATCATTGCTAAGTAATTTTCTAGCGCACATGTTAAATATCAGCGTCCACATGTATAAAGTCAGAGTTATAATGAAAGAATATAATGTGCTTAACATTGCGCCTGTCACACAGGAGGTAACCACTCACTCATTTCACTGTACAGTAAACAACTCTGTGTAAATAACAGCTGAAGGACATGCCAACTTTCTCTTGAGGTGTACCTTCCTAGGTAGGAGTCCTTAGAAATTGCAAGTTACAACCTTTACTTAATTTGCTTCATCTTTATTTCTGGGAGTGCTTGAGGACAACTGTATATTTTACTGGATACTTTAAGCATTTCAACATATCTAATATTCCATGGATGCATTTAATTATTATAAGAGAGACAACTTATTGTGAGGATTTCAGGAAACCAAGGTTTGCTGGAGTTAACTTGATCAGGGACAATAAGATTACAATTAAACTTCAAATTCTTGTGATTGTCAGTGCTGCTACTTATCACAATATATTTCTCACATAGCAAACTGTCTAATGAAAAATTAAAAAATTACAGCTGCTTATTAAAAATGATTGAGAATGTCTAATTTAAGTTAATTTCTTCTTCTTTAAAGAACTGTCAGTTGATTTTATGGTATTTCCAAAGCTTTATTCTGAAAAGGTAAACCACTTCACAACACCCAAATCATAATAAACACCACTGTGTTACAGTTAACCACAGATTTTGAGTATATCACATGTAACTGCATGCTCAGAGAGGGAAATTTATCTGAGGTTATACGAAAATCTATTATAAACTTTAGACATAGTAAGAATAAATACTAAGAAGGATTTGCATACTAAATTACTATTCCCAGTTTACTGCAATAAGACTTCTTTATCCCTTTACACTAATTACTAATGAAAGATAGCATAGGAAAATTATGAAATAATGTTAGCTATTAAAGAAAAATAGTAAGGAATTGACTGAAAACAGTCCTAAGATAACTGCAATAATAGAAACTTTGTAAAAAATTGATTGTAAAAATGACTGCATAAATGTATAAGTTTAGTGCCTGGCAATAACCAGAAAGAATTTTATGGAATGTAAATTATATTTCAGTACATTTATTTATTTATTTATTTATTTATTTATTTATTTTATAGTACTAGGGATTGAACTCAGGACCTTGAGCTTGCCAGACAAGAGCTTATTCTACTGAGCTATCTCCCCATTCTTCAATACAGTTTTTTTGTTTGTTTGTTTGTTTTGTTTGTTTTTGCAGTACTGGGGACTGAACTTGGGATCCTATGCTTGCCAGGCAAGCAAGCACTTATTCTACCAAGCAATCTCCCTGGCCCTTCAATACAGTTATTTAAAACAATGAATACTGAAAATAAAATCTAGCCAACTCCAGCTTTAAAAGCCTCAGAGATTGGAATAATATTTGTCACCAAAATAAGGGAAGAATTTCCAAGAGCTGCTGAGGCTCAGCAGGATCACCTGGATGCAGATAAGAACCAAAGCCAAGCTGAACAAAGCCACGGCTGAACCTCCACATAGCCAGTTTCACAAAACAAAAGGCAAATACAGTATACGAAAATGTGGGGCAGAAAGCTTATTCTATGTTTATGATTGAATCAGGAACTCAGGTGAGCTGGGCTTGTGGAATTAGCTACCAACATCAACACTCATTTTAGGATTGTATAAGAGACACAGCTACAGAAAGAACTGAGCACTTAAGCCATGAACCCCCACCTCTGATGAAGCAGATTTCCTCTGAGACAGCAGAAAAATATCAATGCATTTTTTTGGAACTAAGCAAACTGTAACTGTAACAAATTGAAGGGGCTGTAACAAACACCTCCACTGAAATACATCCATAGTGAATGATTTATCCAGGAAAAATTTTCTTTTCCTAAGTTAAGTCATTTTTCTAAAAGAGGGTAAAACTGTATAACAAACACAATTCAACTAGAAAAAAACAATTAGTTGAAAAACCAACTCCCCCAAAGCAAACAAACAAAAAGAAGCCACAAAGCTGAGAAAACAGTAACTGGTTTTAAAACTATAAATAGCATTTCCCCATCTTAAAAATGTACAGAGGAGAAATAGAAGATATTAAGGATGTGGTGATAATATCAAATATTAGTCCAGAGACTTTCTACATAAAAAGAATTTAAAAATAAACTGTCACAAGGGCTGGCGAGATAGCTCCGCAGACGAAGCTCCTGCCTTGTCGAGCTCTAGGACCAGGGTTCCATCCCCGGTGCCACTTGCCTCGCCAGTCCCGCCCCTGGGCACACTGGTTCTCAAGACCAGGTGTGGTGGTGCATGCCTATAATCCCAGCATTGGGGAGGCTGAAAAGAGAAGGATCATGATGAGTCTGTGCTGGGTAGTGAGGTCTTGTACCAAATACATAAATGAAAAAAAAAACAAAAAAACAAAAAAACAAAACAAAAAAAAAACCTATCACAGATATGAAAATAAAATCAGGAGGAAAAAAACTATGAATCATGAAATGCTATCAGTAAAGGATAAAGGGCAGGAGTTCATAAGTATAAAGGGTAGATGATCATAATGCCAAGGAAAGTAAAATAGAAATAGTTACCATGGATTGGAAAGAAATTATAATCCTGGGAGATAGGGCAATCACTAGATTAAAATTTTTCAATCACTAGATTGAAAAACTAAAGCAGGAAATATTGTTAAAGACGAAATACAAAAAAATTCTCTTAAAGTAAAATGTATAGTATAAGCATTAGACATATTTACTGTGTGTCCGATGAAATTAACACAAATTTCTCAAAAATGAGCAAAACCTTTTGGAAAGAAGACAGACTGTTGAAAGCAGCTAGGTGAAAGTGACATTTTAATAAATAAAGATAAAGAATTAAAAAGTAGGGAATACTATAATTATCATTGTTGATTGCCATGGATAACTGATAATAGATTTGGCAGAGTATAGAAAAATGTACCTAAAATTAAACACAACATGAAGCTCTTAAAATAACACAATAATAGTAAAAAAAATTTAAAATTCAGGAGGAGACAAAAAATAAAACTGATAAAATCTCTTAGGCCATTAAGCAGAAAGACAATAAAGTAAAAAT